GAAAGAGAAAAATTACTTATTTACAACATTTTTAACAGAAATTAAGAAAACACTTTTTTTCCCCAAAAGTTTCAGGTTTTAGTTTATTTAGCAAAAAATTAAATAAAACAGTGGCGATTAAATACCAGCAAAAGAAAGCTCTGTCTATCTCAAAAAAATTATAAAAATTATTTTGGGTACCTTGTTGCATGACCGTGCAAATGTCATACAAAGTGTGAAAGCCCTGAAAGCTGAAAATTGGCCTGGGCAGTAAGCAAGCGGTTAAAGGTCTCCAAAATATGCCTCTTCTTAGCGGACACTACAAAGCTGCTAATTCACGCTCTTATCTCTCACTGTCCACATTACCAGCCAATCAGCATCCGCCACCCCTTTCTGCCAATCGCACAATTGGTTTACGCTCGCCCAATGAATAAAATTCTAAATTCTAACATACAAAGTAGTGTATGCAAAACTATTTACATATACTTTTATTTCCTGGCATCACATAATAAGCAATAAGCAGGTACCTTCTTTGTCAGTGGTCACATAGAAAATGTCATACACAAGTCATGTCATAGTCACTTCGCCTCTCACACCTGTTTACCCCCTATGGACCAGAGCAATTTTTACATTTCTGCTATGGACTTGTTTATTTGGCAATATCTTTGTCATTACTTAATATAAAAACATAATACATATATTTTAAAGGACAAACAAGGCATTCTTTTCATAAATATTGTCTTGCAACTAGTGGTGCACCAAAATGGGAAAAAAAAAACAAAAAAACATTCAGGATGCACTTGGCCAAAAAACGAAACGTCTGTATGTGGGGGTGGGGAGGCTCACATTTTTTTTCTTGTATTTTTTTTTTATTTTTAATGTATGTTTTTATTTTTTTTTAACTTATGATTTTATTGCTATCACATAAGGGACCAATAGTCCCCTATGTGATGGCATATAAATGGCAGGTCCTCTTTGTAGGGGGGAGGAGCAGTGTATACAGTGAGGAAGCAGCATATACACGCAACCTTCCTCACTTACAGCCACTAAAATGTAATTGTCCGTTTTTAAATGCAATTACCAGCTTTTTTCTTCTTCTTTCATTCGCCCCACTACTAAAGTAAACAAAGGGCAATGACATTTAGCGGCTGCTAGTGAGGGAGTCTGTCTGTATACACTGCTCCTCTCCTCTCCCTCCTTTCTCCCCCCCCCCCCCCCATCAGTACACACAGCCCCCCCCCCCCCCAAAAAAAAAAAAACTCAGGCCAAAATAGACAATCTGGGGCCAGGTCTCATTATCGGCACCTGTATCAGCTCACTTTTTCCTTTCTACAAAATGCCAATAGGACTATTTGCAGGCGATGGGTTTTGGCCACCGAACATTTTGGTGCATCTCTACTTGCAACAATGATTTTTTTCCCCCCGCAATCCTTAAACAATTAAACGTTAACAAAAAGCACTTTTTTTTAGCACTATTAATTTAAAAATAAATATTACTAAAAATATTAATGAATGTTATTGCACATAAAAAGTGCACATTTTATTCTGTAATTTGTCCCGTTTTAAAATGACACTAAAATTAGGATTCTGGTACAAAGCATTGCAATGTTTTTTTACAAATTAAATCAATGCGTGTTTTTTTTTTTTTTATTTTGTGCTTTTTGTAAATGTATGTTAAACGAAGATTGGGTTTTTTTTTCTTCCCAAATTATACTTCCCTAGGTGACTGCAACAGCAGTTCGGTGCTACATCTGTTCCCTGCCAGTTCAGAGTGTGAAAACTCAGCAATTACACAGCCATCCAAAGCAGTGTGCCCGAGCAAACAGGGAGGAGAACTGTTAGTAAACCTAATAGTCCACCTCCCCATTGGAGATGCTCGGTAATCACCGGCCGGGACCCGGTGAACGACAGCCGCAGATGGCAGCGTAGGTAAGGCGTGCACACCCCCTACCCAGAAATGCAAACTTACGTATATATGTGATTTTGTGCACCCCTGCCGCCCTGTAGCAGTATAACTGCTATAGGGCTGCGGGAAAGCAGTTAACTGATTTCATCTGCAGATGGAAGATGAATAAACAGATACAAAATTAAACATTGTTTCTTTTGAGAAATGTTGATAAACATTGCCAGACTGCACTAGTTAGACAGCTCCAGCTGTCAGAACTTTCTGTTTATTCAGCAACACCCCTTTGACTAATCAGAGCTGAATCGCCCAGTACTGTTGCAGTGGAGGTCCTGGAAGCAGGGAAGAAAGACTGGACAATTTACACATGACCCGTGTACAATGAGGACTTTTCTTGGGCAGGTCTAACACGCCAGAGTCTGCAGCTGGATATTGCACCTGTAGAGGCTGCCTCACCTCAGTGAAATAACTTTACAGATATGCCCGAAGTAATACCATTATACATAATTAAATCAAGCACATGAAAAAAATAAATTCTACTTACTCATAACTAAATTACACATATAAACTGGTTCAAACAATTCTATTGCAACACCACCACTTTAAAAGGGATTAAAAAAAAAGTGCATTAAAGTACACACTCAACTATTCCGCATTTAAAACTTCGCTCTATATAACATTTACGTCTCCAAATAATTCACATTGTTATTCCGTACTTTAAACATGTTTAATTTTATTGCATTATTTACTATGAGTAAGTGTTGGTGATATGCCAGTGTCAAGTACTGTATTAGGGCATTACTCCCTTTGACATTGGTGAAACTTCAGTTTGGCGAGGAGGATGCCAGCCTGGTTCAAGGTTATCGGATTTTAACATAGTGAAAACTAGTGGACAACCGGAATCGATCGCAGCTTACAGAGCAAACTGTATGGGACTGGTTGCAGCGCCAGTGAGACCCTGCTGAAGCCAGAAGGCAGGCAAGTATTTAGTCCCTTTCTGTGCACTCCTAAATATCATGAGCATTTACCCTATACAGTGCAGGGGGCTCCACTGCAAAGGTGATTTTTTTTTTTTCATCCCTGGACTTGGGCTTTAAAGAGACCCTGCAGGTAAAAGCTAAAAAAAATCAAGCATTTTAAAATGCTTACTTGCAGCATTTTTCCCTTTCCATAAGCATAATTTCAATGTGCATCTGAACTTGCTAGGGTACAGACAATCCTGAAAGTGTCATATCCCTAACACAGCCTTCTCCATCCTTGCATATCATAGCCCTCTCCTCTCCTGGGAGTGTCTAATTACGGCCTATGCTGGTCCAGCTTCTCAGCCCCTCCCTTCCCTACATAATCTTTTATATATCTGCTAGGGGAGGAGGGAAAAGGAATACTACAGTGTCACTTAAAGCGGTAGTAAACCTCAGACATGAAAATATGAACAAAGCATATCCCTATATAGTGTGTACTTGTCTCAATCCAGAACATTAAGTGTCATTTCTGTATGCTGGCTTGTTGTTCTGCTATAGGCATGAGTCACTTCAGACAGGTTTTCCTGACACCAGAAGAAAAATGTTGACAGGGGAGGGACCTCCAGCAGACTGACAGTCTCAGCTCTGTTCTTGTGTGCTGTGTGAATAGGGCATCTCTCTTCCCTCCAATCAGCTCTCAGAGCTCCCCACACTGGTCTAACTTCAGCTCTCTGCCCCTGCTTTTCAGAGCATGTTTCATGTCTGTGCATTACCTGAAGCCAGTCACTTCACTGGGTATATGGGAGGGTTTACAACCACTTTAAATGACAACTCTAAATCTGCTGAAATCCATTCCAAGATGTTTTCACCCAGCAGTCTCAGAAAATTTGGATGTCTTTTTGGAGACTATTACAGGTAAATGACGTCTAAAATGTTAATTGCACAAAGAAAAAAAAAATCTTATGGGAAGATAGTCTGGTGACAGTGTCTCTTTAATAAACTTAGCAGAAGTGAGGCGACATTTTCAAGGTGTGCTTTGTGCAATTTGTAATTCCATTGCGGTCTTACCTAGCCAGTGACTGATGAAAAATAAGGACTCAGTGTCTGAAATATGGACTAGACCAGCGTCTTCTGACCTTGTGAGACACTGGGTGATCCGAAGGACTAAGGTCTGAATCAGCATGCTTTTATATTTCTTATTACTCACATGTGAGATTCATTTGGATTGCTTTTCGGGGTCCTAAAAAGAACTCATCAGAACACATGAGAGGTGCCACTGCAGATGTGTTTCTGGTACCTTATACTGGGGCGGTCATTTTGACCCTTTCTGCTGTACTTGATCAATCACGGACTTCGTAAATCCATGCGCATTTCAGGTGTCAGGCTACTCAATATACACATGCTTTTTTTTTTTTTTTTGAGTCATTGCTATACTAAGTACAGAAAGGATAAAGATGGCAGCCCCAGAAATTGCACTAAAGCAAGTGAAAAATGGCATTCCCAATATTTTGTCCTGACACGTTCCTTTGGCAGTGTTGTACATGATGTTAATTCTGTGCATTTGCTGGAAAGAGGGGCCAGATTCCCTAACACATGCTTTAAACAACACTCTACTTTTCATAGCTTTTTGTATTTCATTGCCCACAGAACCCCACAGACAGGTAATGAAATTACTTATTCAAAATGATGACATGATCAAGCATGCATGAATGTCCACATTCAAAAAGAAGAAGCTCAACATGCACATTTACTTGAATCATATTAAAAAATAAATAAAATAAAATACAATACAAGACACTTACTTTTGTGACAGATCATAAGTAGGTATAACAACACTTTGATGAAAAGACACTTATAGTGCATACCCACAACAAGCATAATCGTGCACGGTCAAAACATGAATTTAACATGCATTCTGGGGCAAATTCATTTTGCAATAAAAACATACACTGCAGTAAAACTAGTAATTTTCAGTCATGGTCAGGAAGACCTTTTATCCAAATTGCTTTAAAAAAAAACAAAAAAAAAACACACAATATATATTTAGTTTAACGACATGAGCAAACATACTGTAGTTGTTTATCTAGACTATTTGCAGGATTATGTCTTTGCAAATCGATCTGCACAAAAGGAAATAAAAATAAAATTGTACTTGCCCAGTAAAACCTTGGCGTCTTCAATGTCAAAATCTCCATCCCCATCAGTATCGTAAGCTTCAAGTTTGCCTAGTAGAGAAAATCAACAGAATATTTACTAGTGTGTTAGAGCAATCAATTTTATTTGCTTTGTGACTAACACTGTACAAACCAAGGTCTTGTTCTGCTCAGTACACAGCTTCCAAAACCCAAGAGATAATTTAAAATCTACATATATTTTTATTTCCTACAAATTGGCATTTCAGTTACAATGCATGTCTGTGGATTAAAAGGAAAAATAAAAAAACACAACAACCACCACCACCACACACATTTAGGACATCTCTGCATGTCATGCACATTTCCATTTTTTCCTCTTTAAAAAACACTGCCAGTTGAGGACAATACCTGATGAATCTTCAAGAAATCCAGTGAGCTCCTACTTTCTGCTCAGTCTGGCAGCTCTGCTGCACTGATTTCCAGAGCAGTGTTTTCAGCCCTGTCTGAGAATTTTCCCCGTTAGGCCATCTCACCTTTCTGTTATAAAGATGAGAGGATATGGAAGGGTTCTGTAGTCTGGTAGGACAGAACTGGGTAGTGCTGACAACACTGCTTGGGATTTACGTGCAGCACAGGCAGAACTATCTTAGGCCTCAAGTACACGAGATGTTTTGCCATCTCTCCAAGACACCTTTCCCCTGGCAGCAGCTTTTTGGCAGACAAAACGCTTTACACACATGAAACATGTATAGACACGTTAAGCTGCTTCAAGTGTTTGGGAGTTCAATTCATTTCATTGGTCAGAATAGTAATTTATTCTGGCCAATGAAATGAACTAATGCTCAAGCACTAAAACGCGACTACAGTAACGCACGTTTAGAGATGTTTACAAGTGCCAAACAGTTTTTTCTGCCCAAATTCCACTGCTCCCTGGATGCACTGGCAGTGGGTTTGTTTCTGCCTTTAAACTCCTCTAAATGCCTGTGCATTGGACACATAGGCTAACATGCAAGGCCATTTAGAGGCCGATGTGCATGAGGCCTTAAACATGTATTTATTACAGGTACTTATATAGCACTGTCACTTTTCGCAGCGCTTTACACACACATATATATATATATATATATATTGTACATTTCACATCAGTCCCTAACCCTCAAGGAGCGTGCAATCTAAGGTATCCTCACATTCATACATACACATACTAGGGCCAATTTAGACAGGAGCCAATTAACCTACCAGCATGTCTTTGGCGGGGGTGGGAGGAAACTGGAGTACCCAGAGGAAACCCACGTAGGCACAGGAAGAACATGCAAACTCCAGGCAGGTGGTGCAGTGGTTGGGATTCGAACCAACAACCCTAGTACTGCCAGGTATAAGTGCTAACCATTTAGCCACTGTGCTGCCCATGACGTTTACTGGATTTCTGGCAGGATCAAAACACTTTTTCCTGTACTTGCAGTATTTTTAAAGACAATACCCAAGGAAATGTTAATTTACAGCAGAGATCTATGAAATACATTTTTTTTTTCTTTAAAGCCAAATTTTAGATGGGAAAATTACCAGCTTTTTTAGGACAGGATTAGAAATCGCTTCCGAAAAGAATGAGAAATATGAGAAACCGGTGAAAGATTTAACCAGCCTACATCTACCAAAATTGAAATCACCAATATATAGCCGTTTTAAAAATGTAAGAGCAAAAGCCTCTGCCTTACACTATAATTTCATGTTTAATGAGAGATAATGGTAATATCTGGTGGCACTAACAGTAGTAGATATTATTCACCATCATCCAAAAGATGCACCTAAGAAATATACGGCTAATAATCAGCTGGTAAATCTAAGTAAAACCCTAATTACAGGTGAAATAAGACATCCAGCAATTCTGGAGATTTGCAGCTATCAAGAAAATAGAACCACAATATGTATTTGTATACTGGAGATTCTAGAGAAGGAATAGCAACAGGTATACAAAACATTATTTGCATTTGTAAAATATTTTGTGCATATGATTGCAATAAAATATGAATCTGTAAATTTGACATCTATATATGGGTAACTCAAAAATGCGGCGTAGTTCATAAGCAACCATTCATAAAAATAACATTAATGTGTGTGCACATGCTTGGCACATAAAAATCATGGAAGACTGATCACATATTGAGTGCCAGCTGATATCAAGAGATTGAAAGACCCTTAGTTCAAGTTCTTAGTTCCCCACCTGAGAGGTAAAAAAAAAAAAAAAAAAAAAAAAAATGTGCCGCATCTGGTACCAAACAATAAGGCTTTACTATCCATTTCACGGTGAAAATTATTTAGATAGCACATATTGCCAAAATGCTCAATTGACATTAATCATTAAGTAACTGCATGATAGTAAACTAAAACCAGCAAACAACAAGGATGAATGGAAAAACACCAAAGAAACTATTCCCCAAAGTGCTAAAGATAAAGTAAAACGACAAAAAAAAAAACAAAAAAAAAAAAAAAAAACCAACAACATGGTGTTACAAAGTTTTAGAAAGGTCAAATCCTCAAATCCCAAGTTTGTTAGACAACGTATGAGAAAAGGACTTATTTAGTGATGGTACAAGTATAGGCATGTTTACAGTAAATGATAGTAAGAACACCAAGATGGAAGGAAGGAAGAGAAGTTTAACATTTTTCTACGGAATCCTACCTTGAAGAACTTCTGACAAGTTATAATGGAAATCCTTTGCCTTGGCTGCGTGTATGATAGAAAATACAGAATAATTTAGATACGGTCATGTCTACCCACACTGCAAATGTATATTAGTTACAGAAATTGTTAATTACAGAGAAAGCAAATGGCCTCCTGCACCCCAATGTGAGATTTTAGATCTTTATGGTGGCTGATATGCTGCATCACATATTAGGTACCCAAAGATTCCAGTACCAAAACATTTACATCACATCCCCAGATTAACAAACTATAATGGCCATTAAGAAGTTAAAATAGCATGGTGCCCTCTGTAATGGTTATGAGTACTGGGCACACGAATTGCTGTGCGTGTAGCAGCCATTTTGTCCACATCACAAGTCCCCCATTGCCATTTTGTCATAAGGCATAGCCACAGTGACCTTCCCCCCCTTCAGTTTATACAATACACAAACTTTTAGTCAATGCCAGAACCTCCTTATCAGATCCTTGAGGGAACAGAGACAGATCCTCTCATGCCTATTAGCCTGAATCTACACTTCAGTCTACAAACCCCAATAAAAACATCAGACTCTAAAAGCCTGAGTAACCAGAGAGTTTTAGCAGATACTCAGTCGTAAATAGCTCAGCTAGGGGAATGGCCAATACGCATTCCTGATAGGCTGGTTATCAGCCAAGACTCTAAAACTTCAGTATATTTAATAACTCATGAAATAATAACAGCATAGCCAAAATAGACATATTTACCTCCCTCAGTTAATTTGTAGCGTTTTGAGCCCAAAACACTAATACTCTAGGAGTACTGGGAGCAGAACTGGCCCAATTCCTCTCCTAGGCAAACTGGGCACTGAAACCTGTCATATTTATATTTATTTTGAAGCTAAATTCCGGCTGGAAAATAATCTACATGGCAGAAGACTGCACCAGGTAGGTATTCAGAGATATGAATACCTATAGAAAAAAAAAAAAACTGCATCTGGGACATAGTCATAGACATAGTGACATCCCAGAAACTTCTCCTCAGATGCTTAATTGGTTAGATGGCCTCTGTCAGAAACACCTTTGATACAGCAAAAAAGGAAAGGGGAATGCCAGGACATTTTGACAGCTCTCATTTTACATCAAACCAAGAAACAACGGTGAAGTCATATGAGAGCTAATGTACCATCTTGCTTGAGTGATTGGACTGATTGGACTCTGCTAAAACCAGGACTTGCAAGTATTCTTAATTTTTCAAGCCTTTATCTTTCTATTGCTTGTTGCAGTGCAGTGGTGGCAGCCTAAAAGAGTTAATTGCTTACTTAGCTAAACCCAGTAACAACCACTCTCATTCTGTAGTAACCTAGATTGTGGTCCCGCAAACAGGAAAATCTTTGTACAGTATAGGGTGAAAGTGCCATTGTTGCGTAAATGACAGCTCAGAGTGAGATTGACCAGTCTTTTGTTTTCAGTTGCTGAAGATGGCGGTGGTCAGACACCCACGTTTATCACACCCTCCTCTGATGGATCCACCATAAAGAAAATCCAGTTGTTAGAGTGCCACAGTCATTATATGATTTTGGAAGGGGGTACTAACAAAAGCTATTTTAAGGTGATGTTACCACTGGGAGACAAAGCAGACAAGGTTTTTTTTCAGTATTGTTTTGGATACAGCAGGGAAATCTTAGAACCCTTGTCAGGTTGTGTGTGTGTATAAGAGTTGCATATTTGTATTGCCCTCTACACCTGTTGCACCCCACAATGAAGTTGGGGGAAAAACTCCATAATGGGTCACTGATGAAAATTAAAACCTAAAGTAGAAAATTAAAACCTAAAGTAGAACTATAGGCAAAACATTTTTTTTCTCCCCCATTTTGGATAGAGTAAGGGAGGATTATAACCTGCCAGATTTGTTTTTCCCCATCTGTGTCCCACTGCAGAAATTTCCTTTCACTTCCTGTTCCATAGCCAAAACAAATAGTGTGAGAGAATCCCTACCAACTAAGGGAATTCCTCAAGAACCCCCAAGGTCAGCAGAACTAGTGTGGAAGATTTCCTCTCTACTACTTTTCTGGGGACAACCCATATTTAAGATTTTCTTTTGCTTTCAGTTTCAATGATAATGGTGAATCTCCTTAACAGGGGCACAGACAACAAAACAGGAAAGCATTCTAATCCCTCTGCAATAAAAAAAAAAAAAAAATGTAGCTTTTAGTTATACTTAAATAAATGTTAGGTATTCCTAACACTATTCACAAAAGGAAAATGACAGAGTTGGGCTTTAAGAAACTTGGAGTAAGTTAACATACCAAAACTAAAAACGAAAAAAAAAAAAAAAAAAAAAAGCAAAATTGAAAAATTGATCCTACAGGTAACTGTTGGGGATCTTGCATGAAAGCATTGTAAGAGGAGTTTCTCTCTCACGCTAGACCGCAAACACAAGAATGACCACCCATAGAGGCACAACTGCAAAACTACTCCAATGAGCTGTAGAACTGATAGCTATAGCTTTTAGGGCCAGGGAAAAATGTAGCATTTTCCATTAACTTCATGCAGAGCTCATTCTTTGTTATTCGTTGGCGGAAGAAAAAGTGGGCAAAATGCCAAGAATAAACCTTTTAGCAGAACACCTAGATTTTTTTTTTATATAGAACCAACCATTTTTTGTAAGAGAAATAAAGATGGGGATCTTTGCAGAGAAGGTTTTATCAAATCTAGATGTGGACATTAGGCATCAAAAGTCAGGAATATCAAGCTGCTGATTTCACCTATAAACATAGCAAGCAAAACTTTGGAGCACAAGTGAAAAGTCCAAATGAGATGGAACTGTAACAAGTCTATAACTTTGAGAGTAAAAGGTCTTCTTGAACTCTCAAGGCAACACTGGACCAGGCAACCATTTTTTTTTTTTTTCCTTCTTCGGCCACTTGACTCCATGCTGCTAATGTAGGCAAAGTGCAAATCTAGGGAAGAAGGCTCAGCAGGAACTAAAGTCTCTTTGGCCACCTGGAGGTCAACATTTTAATAGTGCTTAGGTCAGCTATTACTTTGCTTATACAGCTGGCATTAAGTAAATGGGCAAAAATATAATCCAGATGAAAGTTCAAATTTGTGGGTCACAGCATCTCTCTCTGTCACTATCTCTCAAGTCCAGGAAAATTAGTCTCTGTCTTTGCACTTGGTATAAAACACAGTGGTTAGAAGGTGTTGCCCTTTAGACGCAGTGACCATTTAATATCTACACTGATTGAAGAGCATTCAGTGAAGACTCCGCGATCCTGCTTTGACAGAATCTGTGGGTGTGTAATTACACTTACAAAAGCAGAGAGAGAGAGGAAAAAAAAAGAAAAAAGACCACCAGTCACATTCATGTCATGGCTTTCAGAATGACAACTGACGGGAAAAAAAAAAAAAAAAAAAAAAAAAAAAAAAAAAAAAAGGATTTTAAAAACCGTATCCACTGGAAAAAAAAAAAAAAACAACAACAAAAAAAAAAAAAAACCCTTCAGGGTGATGTGTCCCTTGTGCCGTTGTCCATCTCCTTTAGTAGAAATCTTCCTCCTCAGTGATTCACAATTCTAGGACAGCAGATGATTGAATGGTCCACCTCCTCCATTCATAGATCCTGTTTCATACATAGAAGTTGTAGAGCCAGCTGATATGAAGAAGCTGGGCAGAAAGGGCAAGCAAAGTTGGCCACTGTGAGTGCCTGTCAAAGCTCCTTTAGTTTTATTAACCCACGCCACACTGGAAGAATATGGCAGCATGAGTGTGGGGGGGGTTATTGGAGGAGAAAGATTTCTACTAAAAGAGGAGATAGCACAAGGGACATATCACATTCAAGGTAAGTAATGACCCTTGTACTTATTTTTTTCCTTTGATGCTTAAGGTTTTAAAGTTGTATTTGGACCTTTACAGTAACAAAAAATCAGCAATAAAAGGCAGCTGGATAAAGAGATGCTCAACTTTTGTGGTGCAAGGGGCGTTGTGTCATTATTTATCGTGGGCTCTAGAGGCACTGAGCTAGGTCAGCAGTATTTGCTTAGTTAGTGGGGCCCTCCCATTTTCAAGAGAGTAAAAGGAATGACATTTTCTGCTCTCTTTGAAAGAGAAAACACACAATGTAAAATGAATGTATGCTGATTAAAAAAGTTCCAACTGTCCAATAAATGTAATTTTCATGGATATGGAATTATATACAGTTGCAAGAAAAAGTATGTGAACCCCTTGGGATTACGTGGAGTTTTGCATGAATTGGGCATAAAATGTGCTCTGAACGTCTTCTAAGTCACAACAATAGAAGAACACAGTCTGCTGAACATAATACTACACAAACATTAGATGTTGCCATGGTTTAATTGCACATAACGTGTAAACATTCACAGTGCAGGGAGGAAAAAGTATGTGAGGCCCTAGCTTAATGACTTCTCCCAGAGCTAATTGGAGCCAGGAGTGAGCCAACCTTGACTCCAATCAGTGTGATGATATTGGATGTGTTGCTGACAGCTGTCCTGCCCTTAAAAAACACACACCTGTTTTGGGTTTACTGGTTTCAAGGAGCACTGTCTGATGTGAACCATGCCTCGCAGAAAAGAGCTCTCAGAAGACCTACGAACCAGAATTGTTGACTTGCATGAAGCTGGAAAAGGTTACAAAAGTATCTTGATGTTCATGTGTCCACGGTAAGACAGACTGTCTACAAATGGAGAAAGTTTAGCACTGTTGCTACTCTCCCTAGGCGTGGTCGTCCTGTAAAAATGACTGCAAGAGCACAGCGCAGAATGCTGCGTGAGGTAAAGAAGAATCCCAGAGTGTCAGCTAAAGACCTACAGAAATCTCTGGCACATGCTAACATTTTTGTTGACACATCTACAATAAGGAAAACATTAAACAAGAATGGAGTACATGGGAGGACACCAAGGAGGAAGCCATTGCTGTCCAAAAAGAATATTGCAGCACGTTTGAAGTTTGCAAAAGAGCACCTGATGTTCCACAGCACTACTGGCAAAATATACTGTGGACAGATGAAACCAAGATTGAGTTGTTTGGGAAGAACACACAACACTATGTGTGGAGAAAAAAAAGCCACAGCACACCAACATCAAAACTTCATCCCCACTGTAAAACATGGCGGAGGGAGCATCATGGTTTGGGGCTGCTTTGCTACCTCAGGGCCTGGACGGATTGTTGTCATTGATGGGAAAATGAATTCCAGAGTTTATCAAGACATTTAGCAGGAAAACGTGCGGCCATCTGTCCGCCAACTGAAGCTCCGCAGAGGATGGGTGATGCAACAGGACAATGACCCAAAGCATACAAGTAATTCAACAAAACAATGGCTGCAACAGCACAGAATACGCCTTCTGGAGTGGCCCAGTCAGAGTCCTGACCTCAACCCGATTGAAATGCTGTGGCATGACCTTAAGAGAGCGATTCACACCAGACATCCCAAGAATATAGCTACACTGAAACAGTTTTGTGAAGAGGAGTGGTCCAAAATGACTCCAGATCGTTGTGCAGGTCTGATCTGCAACTACAGGAAACGTTTGGTTGAGGTTATTGCTGCCAAAGGAGGGTCAACCAGTTATTAAGTCCAAAGGTTCACATACTTTTTCCTCCCTGCACTGTGAATGTTTACATGTTATGTGCAATTAAACCATGGCAACATCGAATGTTTGTGTAGTTATTATGTTCAGCAGACTGTGTTCTTCTATTGTTGTGACTTAGATGACGTTCAGAGCACATTTTATGCCCAATTCATGCAAAACTCAACGTAATCCCAAGGGGTTCACATACTTTTTCTTGCAACTGTATATGCACAAACAACTTTTTCAAGTAAACTAATACATAAAGTACCGGGCAAAGTCTAAAAACCATCATAACAGAAAGTAAAAAATAAATTACACATTTTAAGAGAAATGATCAATCGTGAGTTATTATATTTTGACCTGGTCAAATATTACCCCAATGTCAAACTATTGTAATTTATGTGCCATCTCTCTATAAAGGTCACGGTCTTCAAATCTCACCATACTGTTAAGCTGTGAAGTTCTGTCTCTTACAAACAAGAGAAAAAAGATGTGGGACAAAGTTCATATAGAGGAGACAGATCAGATTTGTCACTTTCGGTGAAGATAAACTTTCATATTTAAGTATGCATTATTAGGTTAGACAAATCCCAGCTGGCAGACTAGCCAAATCACTTAAATGGCATTTCGCTTCTTATATCTAGAATCTCCGGGGCTAGCAGCATTGTTCACCATCCTTCATCAGTTCAAGAAAAGGCATCAGTTTAAACAAAAATGTTCACAGAAAGGCTACTAGTTCTTAAGACAGAAGTCAGCACAATCTTCACTGCTTTCAAGTGTGTCTGCTTCAGTGACAGAATCCAGAAGAAGAGCAAAAGGCACAGCTTTTATGTTTTTCTATACTCGAGAGTTATGCAAATATGACATAGAAGGAGTAAAAGACCAGTTATGCCAGTTATGTAGATACTCTTACCTAGCACATCTTCATAGTCCACCAGCTCGAACCACACCACAGCTACTGATGTCCATACTCCCAAGAGGGCGATCACCATGAACCAGGTAAAGAATGAGCTTCCAGAGAGGCCTTCTTTTCTTCCCATTGTTGCCACTGTGCCTTGAGTCTGAAAAGAATGAAAGATTATATTTTTTATTTTATTTAATAAAAAAAAAAAAAAAAACACAAATAATTCAGGCATTACTTACATGTTATAGGTTCTCTCCTAAATGCTAAATGTTCTAACATTACTATCAATTGGAAAGTAATAGTGATATCCAAGGAGAAGACACAATTTGCAAGGATTGAGAACAAGGTATGTAAATTGAGCAATATTAGCACTGTCCTGGACCTATGGTGATCTCTCAAATCACTGGTATGGGAGAGGTATTTGTTTTTTTTTTTTTTTAATTTAGATATTTATTAAATTTTTCACATAAATACATATTGCACTTATAAATCACATAAAACCAACAAATAACTTTTATTAATTTCTATTCTCCTTTTCCTATTCCCTCCCCACTTCCCTCCTCCCCCCCCCCTTCCCCGTCACCTACCCTACAATACTTTCACCCCTTCTAGTTAGAAATAAGAGATATTCTTTCTATATAATCTATCCACTTCTATTCGACTTTAACTCCTCCCACTTGCTCCATCTCAGGTAATATGGTCCCATCCTATCTTCTTGCATATAGATAATTTTTTCCATCCTACAGATCTGATAGACTCTCTCCACCCAGTCCTCCTCCCTCGGCACCTCTACTTTCCACCAGAACTTGGGTATTAACCCTTTTGCTGCATTTAGATAATACCAAATACCCGTCTCCTTATATTTGTCTGGTATGGGAGAGGTATTAATCATATTTGTAAAGTTGCTTGGTATCCCTCGATATATTAAAAGAGCGATTTGAGCGGTTTTAGAATTAGTTATCCTTTAAAAAGAGATAGAAACTTATATACATGAACATAATAAAACAGAGAATATAATATATATCTATCACCCACACAGCATTTTATAAAAGCAAATGCTGTTGGCTTCAAGCATTCTCTGGCCTGTATTTCTGTGAGCCTCTAGCAATTCCTCACCGAAGTTCACTTCCCTTGTTCATAAAGTCTAACTAACCACTTATACTGTGGACACACTCACACTCTAGTGCTTCAGCTTCCATAAATTACATTGCTAATAATGTAATGTATGGGCATTTTATTTTTTTATTTTAATTTGAGTGAGGGGGAAGACTAGAGTTGAAACACAAAGATGTACAGGCGGTCCCCAGGATACGAACAAGAGAGGGTCTGTAGATTTGTTCTTAAGTCGAATTTGCATGTAAGTTGGAACAGGTAAATTTTGTAAGTGTCGCTCTAGCCAAAAAAATAATTTCTACGTTTTTTGGATAGCATAGGGAAGGGTTAACACCCCTGTAATGTTTGTTTTGCTGTCTGTGCCCCTGTTCAGAAGATTTCATCTCACTTTCTGTCCCTGTGACAATTGGATTTTTGAAAAATTTGGGTTGTTGTGCAAACAAGGATTGCTGATAAAACCTTCAGTGGAAACAACTTTTTCACAATGATAGCTCTTACAGGAGTGAATTTCCTTTCCTATGGGGTAGATTTCCTCTCACTTCCTGTTTCTCCCTCCATTTGTAAGGACGAGTCGGCAACTTGAATGTTCGAAACTCAGGGACTGCCTGTACATGCAAGAGGATTAGCATTACTCAGACTAGCCACAGACATAAGTAGATGTACAGATGATCTGATTGCCAAAAGCCTCTTATAATGAAATCAGTTTGAAAAGTATGATATTTTTGTCCAAAATGTGTTCATATATACACTGGGCAGGCGCCCCTAAACTAACTAGTCTCAAGGGAAGAATACTGGCTGACTATGAAGTTCAATTGCAAACAAACCAAGCTAAAACTTACTTATTTTGTCATTTGAGTCCCATTGGGGAGATTTCCAAAAGACAACAGAAAAAAAAAAAAAAAAAAAAAAAAAAAAAAAAAAAAAAAGGAAATGTCCCCAAAGTGAGGGAAAAAAAAAAAAGAAACAAAAAACAGTAGTCACCAAACCAAGTTTCCCCTCAACTAAGAAGCACAACATTTTGGATTTCCCATCACTTTGTCACAATAGTCCCCAGGATATTATTATTATTATTATTATTAATAATACAGGATTTATATAGTGCCAACAGTTTGCACAGTGCTTTACAAAATTAAAGTAGACATTACAGTTACAATACAATATGGCACAAGAAGAAACAGAGGGCCCTGCTCATTAGAGCTTAGATAGAGGAGAGTGAATCTCCTGAAAGGGGACACAGACAGAAATAAAACCGTGAACAAAAATCCATTCTGCACTTTCATCTGTAATGCCTTGAGAGGGTGAATGGCCAGCGGTAATACCGTGAAAATTCAAAACAGAAAAAATAGCCAGCATAACAAAATTCTAAAAGGAGCAGAAGTTCACCTTTCACTACATTTTCCAACCACATTCAGAGTGTAAAATGTAATGAAAAGGACTGGCCCCTGCTCCCCCAATCCCCCGTTTTGACAGGTAGCGGGGGATCTTCTCCCTCTGCTGTCACAGTTTAGAAAAATGTAGCTCTGCCCACCTGGCCACATCATCCATTCACAGTGTTCTGTGAATGGGAAGACTACAACAAGCTGTTGGCTTGTAGTTTTCAATTAACTAATGGTGTTGTGGAGAGCTGTGGAAGTTCCTTGAATCTTCCTGTCAGAATGTATCTGCTGGCCTGTAGGAGCACACAGATACACTGACAGGGCTGCAGGAGTCCTGCATTGCTGGTGCAATGCTTTCAAGGCTCCCAAAACAAAAAAAAAAAAAAGATTAAGGCTCCTTTCACAATTGTGCAACTTCAAAATGGTGCGATTTTCATTGCAACTTTGCAGTGTGACCTGATGCAACCGATGTGACTTTTGATGAGTGCGATTTTGCCTTTGACAAGGTGAACTTATCCTTTAAAAAGACCTCAAAACTTTATGGAGGCCTTAGCTGTAATGACACACATCTAGAACAGATGAAAAAATTTAAACCAGATTTCTTCTATTTAAAGTGGTTGCCTGAGCCTCATCGCGATCCAGCGATGTGAACAACAGCCTCAGCTGTCCTGGGTCTCTGCCTCCTCATTGGCTGAGACAACAAGTGGGAGACATTGGTTCCCACTGCTGACAATCACAGCCAGGGGCAGACTGACCATTTGGAAACTCGGGCACCGCCCAAGGGCCTGGGGTCAGTAGGTGGCCCCATGAGATGCCCCTGGTACCTTTTTCATAGGTTTTTTGAGTTTGGGCAAGGACACAGGGGCCCCATGATCCCCTATTGCCCGGGGGCCCCAAGAGTTGTCAGACTGCCCTTGATCACAGCCAGTCAGCCAATGAGGAGAAGGGGGGGGGGGCTACGCCATGGCTGCATGTGTGAATGGACACATTTAGCATCGGGTGTCCCCATAGCAAGCTGCTTGCTATGGGGGCACCCAACAGACAGGAGGAGCCAAGAGAGAATGCGGGGCACTCGCTTTAAGCTATGTTGTCAATACAACAAAGACTTAAGTAAAGATTGCTTTAGGTTTGCTGGCCATTTTGTGGTTCTTAACCATTCCTTTCTGTAATCAAAAACGGGGAAAACAAAAAAAAAAAAAACACACACAAACAGATTTTGCCTATAGATATATACAGTTTATTGCAAAAAAGGTAGTGGTCCCTTTCACATAGAGCAAAGTCAGACAAATATTTAGGAATTGTACAACAAAAGGTTTTGTTCTCTACAATCTATTATCATCAATTTAATTAGCACATATGCATTTTTCTTCCTTGTTCCTTCATTAGAAAAAAAACTCATGAAGGCAATATTAATCTAATTTCTAAAATGACAGCTCCCAGAGACAAAACCCACAACTGTGCTCTCCACAACAGAATGAATACAATGTGTATCCTGAAAACAATGCAGTCTTTTCATCATCAACAACTGTAGCCAACAGCATTGTATCCTTTCCCACATGTCAAGGACAACAAATACAACATGCCAGAGCTGATAAAACTAGCCAAAGAAATTAAAATTCAGAAACAAAAGGAGTAGTGATCTACAAATGCCAATTTTAATATTCCATTCTCTCTGGCATGGACACCAAAAAAATCTATGCAAATGTTACATTTATTAGGAGGTAAGGATTTCTACGGATGCGGAAATAGAATTTGCTTTGATGTAACACCTCTTACATTTTACAATGCAGCCATCATTTGATGCATTGGCACCACAACACTTTGATCAGTGGCAGTACTGCAAGTGGAATCATTGCAGACAAAGTCGGCTAGAAGTGGAACCCTCCAGTTGTAGTGGATTGTGATAGACAGTCCACGTTTTATTAGATGATCAGTAAAATGACAATTTTATAGTCTTGCTACTTTCTGCTTCTTGCTCTTTAAAAATTCCTTACTCTCTTAAGTAAACAATCAGATATAGGTTGACAGAACAATGATAATTAAGATGGCGCCTTCATCTGGAGTCTCACCCTAGGTGACTCATTAGGAGAAAAGTATCTTTTAATGTAAACAACCTCCATAAAAGGGAATGAGTCTTTTTGGGGAAAATGAGTGGAAGATATCAACACGGATGGAAGAACACGCAGAAACCCAGTGGACTTTTCACCCAATCAATGTATATGCTTTGCCTGCATCATAAGCCCTATAAATGATACTGTTAGTTCCTCAATAAAGCAGAATTTTAGGAAGTTGACAAACTGCAACAGTGTCAGTGTCTTTCTTCCACGTGCACGTAATTCTATATTAATTTGGCTCACTGGTAGATCACGGTAAATGGTCTGTAAGTGACAGAGTCCAAAACACAGTGACATCAGAATCTCTCACGCCACTCAGAGGTTAACTGACAGCATAGTGCCTCCCTGTGCCATGTTCCAGAGTACATTTCCTCCCATAGAACATCCCTATGTCATGCCTGATGGCAAGTTTCCTCCCAGTTTCAGTCGACCAAATGACATCACAATACCCACTTGACCAATGCATCGACCCTTCCTTGTAGGACTCATCGTGAAGACAAATAATGTTCAAAGCCAATTTAAAATGGTACTTTCACGTAAAAAGGTTTTCAATGCACTA